TGATTGGATATCCGCCATTTAATGACGATACACCACAAAAAATATTTAAAAATATTTTAGATCATAAGATACAGTGGCCACCAGAAGAGCTTTTATCACCACAAGCAAAAGATCTCATCACAACACTTTTAAATCAAGATCCTGCCAAACGACCAACAGTTGCTGAGATCAAAGCGCATCCATTTTTCCATGGAATTGATTGGGACCATATTCGAGATCAGCCAGCACCATTTGTTCCAAATCCGGAAGATGAACAAGATACTAGTTATTTTGATGCTCGTAATAACCGTGCAGATATTCGTAGATTATCAGCTGGTAATATTGAAGAATTCGCGTTAGGTAGGATGACAGCACCTGGTGATCGTAGATCGATGATCCTCTCTGACGATGACAATAATGAACAATCTAACAACAATAACTGTGTTTATCCAATATCATCAAGTGTACAACCACCAAATCTATTATTATCAACAGTCACTGCAAATTTGATTGATAATATTTCATTACATTCACCAACATCACCAACAGTTTTAAACAATAATAATGAACTATCATCAAATAACAGTAGTTCTAGTATTGGTAATAATGGTAAAGGTAATAATAGTAGTAGTGACAATAACAGGAGCAGTAACAATAGTGGTAACAATAGTGGTAACAATAATGGTAGCAATGATAGTAATAATAATACTCAACGTCATTCCACATTAAAACCACCAACACAATCTGAGGAGATTCCAATTAAACATCATCAAAAACGAAGACCATCACTTTTAAAATTAACTGCAGGGGGCAAGTCAAGGAAGCAATCTATCAGTGGAACCAATAGTGATAGTTCATCATCATCATCATCATTGACGGCAACCCCAACATCAACTGGGCCAATTCCGATGACAGGCAATACATTAATATCACCTTCATATAATACACGATCAAGAAGATCAACATTGGTCGGATCACCTAAAATGTATGATATGGAGCAGACTATAGCATCAGCTTATGAAGTACACGCAGCAGGAAATCAAACGAATCGAAATGAGACAGAATTTGATGCTTTTGTTTATAAGGGAGTATCGGTTCTAGGCGATGTAAATCGTGATGTTTTATCAGGAGGCACTGGTAACAGTAATATTTAAAAGAAAATTTTTTATTTATTTCATAAAAAAAAAACAATAGCCAGCTATAACAGCATCATCAGGCAATATCATTGCATCATCGCAGTAAGAGATAAATTTAAATATATATAATATGTATATTCTAGTAGATTTTTAGATTTGTTTAAAGGATTTTGGATTTTTATTTTGTTGTTTTTTATATTGTAATTGGACTTTTTTTCAATTCATTACAAATTATATAAATATACACATTCAACGTGTGTATATTTGTATGTAACATGTATATTTATTTAGAGTTTCACTTATTTTATAGCTTCACATTTTCTTTGTTTATAGTTAATTTCAAACACGCAAACATCTATTCACCAAAAAAAAAAAAAAACAAACATTCTGTAGTATAGTTGGTTTTTCATAAATTTTTTCATTTCTAAAAAAAATTTTGATTGTGATTATTATTAAAAAAAAATAATAATTAATAAAAAAATTTTTTCTTAGATGAATCATATATATTTGGTGAATAATATATGTTGATGGTTGAATTAGAATTTTCCATAATAAAAATTTATTTTTTTTTAGAATTTCTCTTAAAAAATTTGTACAATAAATAATAAATTAATTGATTAATCAATATCAAAGTGAAGGAAAAAAGGTTTTATAATAAAAGTAAGAAAAAACAACTTTTTGAAATCATTAGTAATATAAATATATTAATATTCCAAGTCGTAACATGATTTTGCAATCTCGTAACAGAAAATATCCAGAAGCTATATTAATTTTCAACTGGTGCGTTACAAATTGTAATAAAAATAATCGAACACATATGGGACAAAACCAAGGTGAGCACTTATATACCAAGGATTTCAGGGATCATAAATTCTAACAACACAATTGTTCTGCTGATTTTACAAATTATCTTGCAATTTAATCCCATGCTTACATTTTTTTTTTTTGGAACCAGCAACAAAATCAAATTATGAAGGTGCTAAAAATTAGTAATAATACTTATCTAAGAAAAAAATTGTTGGTTGGGCAGTATCTGCATTAACCCAATTTAAGCAAGAAAGCAAAGGGTCTGACAACTTTCCAGTTTCATAGGTAGAAGTAGTAGCAATGAGAATAAATTTTGTTTGATAAATCCACTTCTTTATTAAATGGGGTGAAAATTTGTATTAAACCACGAATATCACTATTTTGAATTATCGAAAAAAAAAAATACTTGAAGGTTTTGCAATGCATTAAACATTAAATTATTCTGCTTTTATTTAATATCGCATCTTTAGTTCTATATAAACCCAACCAATTGGGTTTTCTCATTTCAATGTTCTTGCCCAAAATAAATTCTACAAAGATATTTATTTCATGGTGTGACCACCTTTTTCTTCAATGATTTTGTGATGATTGATTGCTATTATTATCAGTCATCTCAACATGATTGTTGATATCATCTCATTATTGTCAGTAATCTCAAAGTGATTGTTATTATCGGTATCATTATGATTGCCATTACGATTATTATTATTGGTTATCTCGACATGGGATATACAGAGAGTCAGCACCAAGTGAGTACTGTACTGAATCAAAGTTCAGTACAGTACTCACCCTTGTATAAACTGTGTAACATACTAAGAATAATTCAGTACACACTTGTCATTTATAACTATTAAGTTATCTAACCATTTAATATTAAGATTACCATTGAAAATAATTAAAGTGACATGAAAAAATATAATAATTTTGTTATCCCAAAAACATTTGCTTTATTAAGTAAAATTAATCTTCATATCAAATATGATATACTGAAGTTTTGCCACATATAAATAACAACTTATTGTTTTACAAACTGACTACAAATAGCAAGTTCTAACAACTTTTGTGGTATAAGTAAAAAAATACAACATATAAAAGGTAAGTAAAGCTCCGAAACGGGCCACTAGCCTTGTGTATTTAATTATGTATTGCGTCATGAATTGTCTTGAATTACGTATTAGTATTGTGTCATGAATTGTCTTGAGTTACGTATTGTGTCACGAATTGTCTTGAATTACGTCTTGAGTCATGAATCGCCTTGAGTTATGTCTTGAGTCATGAATTGCCTTGAGTTACATCTTGCGTCACGAATTGCGTCCTACATCTCTTGCATCATGAATTGTGTTTTGCGCCATGCATAACACCAATTGCAGCTTTTAAACCACTATAACTGTTTCGCCTTTTATATTTAATTAATTATTATTAATTTATGTAATCACAAAATTTTCTTATTAACTCGAAATCAACCCGAAAATTTCGGGTCGGTCTCGGGTTAGCCTTTAAAACATTCGGGTTGACACTTAACCCGCCCGAACCCCGACCCGTTAGGAGCTTTAAAGGTGAGTGCTGTGCTGAACTTTGAAAAACAAAATTTTCAGTATGGTATATACTCACTTAGCTTCAGTACGGTGCTGACTTTCTGTGTATCCATGGTAAATTTTTCTTTCTATTCATTGCTTCTTGATTCCTTGGAATTCTTGCTTATTAACTTTTTTAGCATAGAGTATTCTTCAACAATTTTATGACAGGCTTGCTCTAATTTCTTTGCCCCTTTTCCTGAATTCAAGTATCAAAAATTCCAAAACATCATCTGAGACATTTTTTCAATTACATCTTTTCTTTGAAGTATAGCTTTCCAACCTTTTTAAATCCACTGGACCTTTTAATTTTGTGGCCAATTTTTCTTTATAATTTACTGCAGCAATGTAGGCTGGATCAATTTTTTCATTAAAATAAGAGTTAGTAAAGCTTTCACTATTTTCAACTTAAAAAGTTTAATCACATCTGCCTGAATTTTTTCATCTTTCACTTTTTCTAACTCATCAAGTAAAATAATTACAATTCTTCGAAGGTATTTATAAGCAAGATTATTCAGAATTTTACAAGGCGAGACTGAGGATAAAGAAGTTATCGAAGATATGGAAATTAACTTTGTTCAGGATAAAGATGTAATAGATGTTCCAACTGCGAGAGGCAAAATCAAATGTTTGACCATCACAGTTGACCCTGGCTCTAAACTTTACTTATGTCTAGGGACATTGCTGAACGTTTCGGTTTAAAAATTGACAAAAGTCCAGCACAAGAAACCAGAGGGCATCACTTAAAGTTTTCACAAAGGTAATCTTTCCAGTTCCAGATAGACCAGAATAATAAATCACTTTACTTTGAGGGTGAAAGTTCCCTTTGAATATTATATAGAATGTGTTATGGTTTACAAATGTTTCTTTTTCCTTATAAAACCCAACATGCTTATCAATTATCTTTTTGACTTCCTCGTTCAAGACATTTTTTAATTTTTTTGTTCTGTGAAATTCATGATTACCTTTTCTCCTTAACACCTATATAAAGCATAAATACCAAAGTTAGACCAACTAGAAACATAATACTCGAGTTTTTTTAATATACTCCCTATAACCAATTTTATTAGTCTCCAAAGAAGAAAGAAAGTTTGCTAATGGAGTGATTAAAGCTCTGAACCAGGACTAGAAGTAGCAATAGTACTTTAAAAATCCGGATAAACAATGGATAATAACTCAGAGCTTTGCTTGAGAGTAGAGGCAGAAAAGTTAATATAATTAATTCCTTCAACAGAATTCTTTTTTGTTACTTTTTTTGGTCGGAAATTAAACAGTAGTAGTAATTGTCCGTTTGGTTTTTGCCCACAGTTTAGGCAATTTTAAGTTTTGCCAATTTCGTCAAAAAATTGAGAGAAATCAGGCCAAAATTACTAAACTATGGATTAGTTTCAGCCACCATCACTAAGGAGAATCTTTAGCAATGGTCGGCCAATTAAAATATTAAATTTTTTATTTTTATATTTTTAAATATTTAATATCGAATGGAATGCTTAATAATGGTCAACATCCAACAAATTCTTTACAATCAAGATATAAAACGAATCTATTCCTCCAAAGGAAAGTACTGGAGGACACAAAGTCGTAATAAATAAATATTTTCGTCTGCCATCACACCTTTTCTTGTTTATCTGGGCGGATGACCAAAAACATTCAATTTTCAGAATTTTAAGAATCTGTTAAGTGCGCTTGGAAAAAGGGCATTTTTCATAAGCGTCTTTCCTCTCTCTCTTTTTTTAATAATCAATCCCCCTGCCATTTAACAATGTTTGCACAACATCTACCAAATCCAATCCAAGAATCCTATATCTCCACTAGTTAAACTATTCCTTTTTTCGTACTAATGTTATTTTAGTAGACAAGCGCTCACGCCATTTAATTTTTGATTATCATCATTATTATAATTGAATTCCGTTATTTTTTCGATTGATAAAACGTTAGGAGTGTAAAATTTTGTATAAATATTATTCAGTACTTGTTATATAAGCTTTATGTGCGAGATTTGAGTAAGTGTTTAAAAATCTTGTCCAAATACATCTGTCCAGGTATTTTATATACATTGTATATGTGTATGTGTATGCATATATAAATATTAGATTATATTATTTTTGATTTTCTATCAACATTTTATTTTCAAATTCTGCTAATAATCTAAAGTCATCCATATATGCAGCAATAAGATCGTGATGTACCTATTATCAATGATAATAATAACATAAACAAACATTAAAGATATTATCTTTTCCAATTTTATTTTAAATAAACAATTATTTACTTGTGTGGGTGTTCGTTGAGTGATTCTAATATTTTTGGCTCTATATGACCTTCTTCTGCGTTTATAGTCACGTTGTTCAGCTAATAATTCTTCGTGTGATTTTTGTCCTTGATTTTGTTCTTGTTATTTTTCAAAAAAAAAAAAATTAATCATAATTATTATAATTATTTTATTTATTTATTTATTTTACCTTTCATCTTTTGTATTGCGTCCCATATTTCATCAAAGTTTTTATAAGGGTCATTATTTAATTGATTATTTTCAGAACGAATCTTATCAGCTAATTCAATAATTTTTGTGTATTCCTCAAGTCTTTGATCAACTGAAAGACTTGATCCTACGCCAATATTTGAAAATCCTTTTGCCAATGTTTTTAGTAATTGATCTATTATTAATTTATTGTATTTTCTAAATATAATATAATAAGACATAAATAATTACATCAAACC